CGAGCCCAGGGGGGCACAGGAGGGGTCTGGGGGGGGTGTCTTCTGAGCTTGGGCCCTCTCACCGGGGTCCTGCTCTGTATTCTGCCCTACAAGGCAAAGACCAGTAGAGCCCCCCGCCACCAAACGGTGCTGGGGGGAGACAGTGGGGAAGAAGAGCCCTGGGAGACGCTACTGCGGAAGATGAGGAGGGGTGAAGGTCAAGAAGACTGTGAGCATCTGCTGGGGGGGGGCAGCTGGAGAAGGCTGGGGGCTGAGGAAAGGCTGTCCATGACTCGACAGCCACCATGAAGGGCCTAGGTTTGGTGAGAGACCCCCGGCTCTGGTGAGCTCCAGCCCAACGCTGGGCACAGCTCTGTAGTCAGGAGGCACCCAGCCTGGGGGGAGCACCCCCAGCACCTTCTGTGCAAGCGTTGGGTCCCCCACCCACACTGGCTCTTCCCACTCAACCCTGGAGGGGAGATTTACTGCCACGCCGACTGTCACCAGCATCAGGCCAAAGTCAGGGACCTTGGAGGATGGGGAAGGGGCCTCCTTCAGGTCCCCAAGGCAAGACCAGCCAGCCCTGCTGCCCAGGTCTCCTGGAGCCCTCAGGGGAGGAGGGAAGAGATGCTGCGCCTCTGCCTCGTTGCAAAATGGTATGTGATAAACCAGGCATGTGCACACAGGCTGCTTCTCCCTCTCCAAATCCCAGCACGCCATGGATGAAACCTGCACCTTCTGCTTGCCGCCTCCCTGCCCCTTGCAGGAAGATCCCCCTTGTATTTCTCATGAGCTGCAGCTCTGATTGCTACGGTGGGTGCCAGGCATCCATTAGGAGCAAAACACTCCAGTTGCGGGGACTGCTCCTGCATGTAAAGCGCTGGGAGAGGCAGCTGGGAAAGGTTTCAGGGAGAATGTTTCAATGATGTATTTCGATACGGCATTTTATGTGTGAAATGAACACATGTCAGTGCCAGGATGTAGCTGCTGCTGGATGGATCTGGGCTAGCAGGCGGTAATGAATTATCAACCGGGAGGAGCTAAGCCAGCCCTCCCGCTTCCTCCTGCACTGCTGATGCTGGAGGTGTTTGCAATGAAAGCGCAGGCTCAGAGCTGGGTTTCAGACTTCCAGCCAGGCATCCTGATGCCTGGGGCTGAGGTGCCACATCTGAGGACAGGGCAGGGGCTGTGCCCTCTACGCCGTGGTGAGGAAGAGGCGCAAAGTCCCATTCCCATCTATCGTGCACTGCGGCCAGCCACATCCTGCTTTTTCCTTGCAGAAGGCTGCAGTGGGATCTGCAAAGAACATGCACGCGTGCACACAGACCCCCAGACACAGAGATTTGCTTGGGGAGTGGCCAGAATCAAAGCGGATCTGGGCCAGCATCACCCACCCAAGGCCAGCTTAGGCTGGGCTGAAGTAACCAGGAGGATTTGGTAACAGGGTACAAATACAGAGGTGAAAACACAAAACCAGGACAAGGTTCCTGATGAAGATCAGCACCTTTAGATATACAGAGCCTAGCCAAGGAGATGGAGGAGGAGGGGATGGGAAGGAACTGGCCAGCTTTGCTATCTTTGCATATTTGAAGATGGACTGATTTTTCTGTTATGCAAACATGGTCTCATCAGAAACACACAGCTGAATTTTGCAGGTGAGGAAGCGGAGACCTTCCTGGCTACTGCTTGCTCCTGCTGGAGTAAAATGGCTCTCAGATTGCTTCATCTGGAACACACGAAGCCATCCCCTCCCTGTGTGAGCTCTCCCAAGCTGGCTTCCCCAAACTCGTTAAGAAGGGCTATTTGTATTCGGCAGCGATGAGCTGGGCTTTGCAGCCTTTTACATGTCCCCAGCCAGGCTCGTGGTTACCAGCACGGAGCAGCACAGTGTGTGTGCATCTCCTACCACTCCCAGGAGGGGAAATTTGGGTGAAGCATGTTTAAAAATCCAGCCCAGGGCTGATGCAGCTTGAGGCCTCGGCTATGAGCAGCAGAAGAGCTCCAGGGCCAGTTATTCCCCTCTCGCCTGCAGCTGCCTGCAGCCCCACTGCAGGAGCAGCTCTGGGGTAGAGGAGGTCAGTGAGCCCATGGTCCTTCATCAAGCCCACGCCGCTGGCAGCAGCAAGGCCTTCCCGCAAGCACTAGGGAATTACCCAAGCCCTACAAGAACAGCAGGATATTTCTTATGCAGGTAAAGAAGCAGCTTTGCAGCTTT